AGCTACCCCAGTGAACGTGTTCCTCAAAATAGTGGCCAATCTGACCATACAAATGTAGCTGTAATAAGTGCCATACAACACAACTGTATAAATATGTTGAATGTACTATGTACTAGAAAGCTCAACTGGCTTAGGAATAATTTYCCCCTCAGGGATGTTTTCTTTTGGAGTTCACAGACTCATAGAACTCATAGTATGGGTTGATCTTCCTGAGGTTCTCGCAGACCCAACTGGCAATCTGTCTAGGTCCTTCTGGATGGCATCCCTTCCCTCAAGTGTGTTAATGGCACCACACAGCTTAGTGTTGTCAGCAAACTCGCTGAGGGTGCTTTGAATCCCAGTGTCCATGGCGCCAAAAAGAGTGTACCAGCTCTAGTACCAGTGCTTATCCTTGTGGAACAYGGGTCATCACTGGTCTCCACTTGGACATCAAGCTGTTGACGACGACTCTTTGAATGTGACCATCCATCTAATTCTTTTTCCAGTTAGAGATCCACCCATCAAATCCACATCTCCAGTTTAGAGACAAGGATGTTTTGTGGGACAGTGTCATGCTTTGCATGAGTCCTGGTAGGTTACATTAGTTGCTCTTGTCCACTATTGTTGTCCAACTGTTGTAGAAGCCCATTAAATCTGTTAGAAATGATTTGCCTTTGGTGAAGCCRTCTACCTCATAGTCTGACAGGGAACCAAGGTGGGACTGGCAGACTTACAGTTCCTGGGTCCTCCTTATTTCCCTTTTTACAAATATAGACTATGATTCCCTTTTTCAAGGGAAGCTTTAGCTTTCACAATTTCATAGACTTGAGCCACTCAGAAAATCCCTTTTCATCCCAGGCTACTTCCACCCCCTGTAGCCTTTCCTTTTGTGTTCATMCAGGAGCTCTCTGTTCATCTATCTGATGCCATCCTGATGTTTTTGCCTGGTTTCCTCTTTGTTGGGACAGTCWCTCCTGAGCTTGGAGGAGGTGATTCTTGAATACCAACCAGTTTTCTTGGGCCCCTCTTCCCTCCAGGGTTTTATRCCATGATTCTCTCTGAAGCAGATCCTTGAGGAGGCCAAAGTCCTCTCTCCTGAAGTCCAGGSTAGTGAGCTTCCCGTGCACTTCCCTTGCTGCCCTGAGGATCTCAAGCTCCATTTTGTGGTCCTTGCAGTTGAGGCTGCTTTTGAGCTTTGCATTTCCCACCAGCCCCTTCTTGTGAGAAGAACAAGATTGACCACAGCACCTCCTCTCCACACCTCCTCTCCTTAATTCCTCTATTATTTGGAGAAGGAATTTATCAATCTCCTGGATTGTTTATRTGCTGCTGTTTTGACAAATACTGGGGTGGTTGAAGTTCCCCATGAGGAACAAGGTTTGTGTATGAGAGGCTGCTCCCTTCTATAAAGGGCCTTGTCTTCTCTGTCTTCCTGGTCAGACCCCCTGTAGAAGACTCCTACCATAAAGTTACCTGTCCCTTGACTGCCTTTAATCCCCATCCATGAACTCTCAGTCATCTCCTCATTCAACTGCAGGTGAAACTCCTTGAACTCCAGCTAGTCATTGTCACAGAGGGCAACTCCWTCTCCTTGTCTGCCCTTCCTGTCCTTCCTGAAGAGCCTGTATGCTTCCATTCCAGCACTCCACTCTTTGTAGCTATCCCACTGTGTGTCCATAATAGGCCAGTGAGATGATAGCCTGCAGGCATGCCCACATAACTCCTCTTGGTTATTCCCCTTCTTATGTGCTGTTGAATAAATGCTTCGAAGCTGAGGATCCCTCTTCAGGCCCTAGGCATCTGTTGCTGGCAGTGGCACCAAACTCTCAAAAGTGGGATGGACTGAAGCTCCTTTCTCATTGCTGCCTTTAGTTTAAAGCCCTCCTCACCAGCTTGGCAAACCTTTGGCAGAAGATGCTCTTTCCTTCTTCTGACAGATGGATCCTGTCAGGCATCAGTCGATCCCATTTCTGAAAGCAAGTCTCACAGTCAAAGCAGCCAAATCCCTGGCTGCCATACAGTCTCAGAAGCATTGGTTCATTCACCAGATTTAACTAGCCTGTTCAAACACCTTCTCTTTGACTGTGAGCATTGATGAAAAGACTGCCTTAAAGACACTTAAAAATTTTTAATTTAAGAAAARTCGGAATGTGGGTATTTATTACGTTTGCATTTTGGTTTTGTGATACAAGTATTGTGTATCTTTTTGATTTACCTTTATTGTTCTATTTCTGCAACCGACTTATTTTTGCCAACATACATTCAGATGTGTGTCTATCTGAAAGATGCTGCTTCCTAGAGAGATCTACTTTTACAAGATTTGCAGACAAGTTTTAAAACTTGACGGTAGATCTGCTTAGGAGCATAAAGGCACTAGTTAAGGCTAGTTTTTCTTATTTAGTATTCTGCCTTGAATAATTAAAAACACAAACATAATCCCKTAGTTATCGCAATGCATTGTTAGTGAAGGATGATGGCAAAATGAATGTTTCTTGTACTTTGTGCTTGACTCATTGTCATTTTGTGCCTGGCTACAAAAGCACGGTTGCATCTCAGTTCTTGATTCTCTAAAAGGTATGTTAGCAGATCCCTTGATATCTGTGAACAAAGCAAGATTTGGGAAAGAATGGTATTTTACAGATTCCTACAGTGATGTGGATGGAAAGGAGCCTCCAAAGGCCTTATTTGTACCTTTCCGTCAGATTACAGCCAACTTTAGGTAGTTGCTCCAAGAAGCGTCCATGTAAATTTTAAAAATCAAAGGGAACAAATTCTCTGTTCTTCACTGTTCTCTTGGCACTCCTTACTGTGAATTTGCTTCCCTAATATGTGACTAAACTTTAAACATACTGCATCTGATGTCTATTGCCATTTTCCCTGTTAACTGTATAATTCTGAAGAAGATTCTGGCTTCGTCTTCTCTATACTGTGGCCTTAAGTTGTTAAAGAGAGGTTTATAATTTCTTTAACRTATGTTATCAGTTTCTGTTTAAATAATTTGTGAAGTGTCTGGTAAAGTGCACAGTGTAAGGTTGAGTTTGGACACATGGTGTGATTCTTTGGGGCTGTCCTGTGCAGGGCAGGGAGTTGGACTCAGTGATTCTTGTGAGTCCCTTCCACCTCTGCGTGTTCTATGATTATGTCTTTTTATATGTTGTGTCCTTGAATCAACTCTGAGTTACCTCCTAGTCCATTTTTTTGATGGATGCACACTTGGTTCAAAGTGTAATAAGGCCTTTTTAACAACCCAGGAGCAGCTAAGTGCCTTTTCAAATCATCTGTGATTTGTTATATAATGGTAAAGCTTCTGCTTCTTTCAATTTCTTCATAACTCTTAAAACATCAGAACCAATTTCTAAAACTTTGACTCATAATTTAACGCAGTAGCCTTGTCTGCTGGTCCTGTAAGTTGCACTGGTTTTGTGCAAATTGAGGTCCTTTTTATGCGAAAGATATTCCACATCTGTGGAGACTTGCCTACATGCGACATTTTCTGATTACAGAGAGCAAAATTGGTTTGTATGCCAAGAAAACTATTCACTTGTGGATAGTACTGTCAGCAAGGTCTGTGTGATCCATTGTCTTGCTCTCCTCTGATTCATGTCAGTAGGAAAGTGGTAAGTTGGGGTTTTCATAAGAGATGTAGACCTACTACTTGTCATTTTATGCTGTTAGCTTATACTTCTGTTTTTCAGATGAGAGGTCAGCTGCCTACAAAAAGCATTGTTTTGCCTTAATCTTTGGCCCTGAGTTGTTAGCTAGAGCTCAGCTACCAAACTGACTTAGTGTTGTTGCTCTTGTGATGAAAGGATACAAGTCAGATTGCACAGAATTTTTTTCTTTAAATTAACTTTGTCTTCTGTCTTCTGAGGTTTTGTTTGCTATATACAAGATTGTTTGCCTGGTCTTTTCAAAGTAAATCCTAACAGAGTAGAAAATTTCTGAAGTATTTAACTTCAGAATTTTATTGATGGGGATGTGATATAGGAACAAAATTGGACCAAAGTTGTTGTGCCTTCAGTAGTTTAGATGTAGGGTTTTTCATATCTGTAGGTGTCTTAAGTATAATAAGTGCATTTTCCCCCTTTGGAAAATGTATATTTATATTGTGAAA